GTCCCAATTAGCTTTACATTTTAGCCTTAAAATTTACTGCCAGGCCCTCCCTGGTGGCACAGTGGGTTATAGCACAACATGATGAAACTATCGTAGCCACTGCAGCATGAGTTCGATCCCGGGCCAGGGAGGTGACCCACATGGCATTGCAGACTTCTCCTGACCTGCCCACTGCTCCCCTCAGCAGTGTATTTCAGTCCATCTGCCTGTTTTACACCCGCCTCTGTCTCTGATGAATCCTCTCACCCTCCACACCTACAGCCAATACCCCAGTTCTGCATAAATAAATAAAAAAGAATTTACTGCCCTCATTAACCGTCCTGAATTTCTCAGAAGCCTCTTTTAGCTCTCTAGAAGTCCCTGTCTGCATTGTCCCTGAAGCTGTGTAATTAATCCTCACTTGCCCTGGGACTCATTTTGATACCTTTCTCTTAAGTTAGGTTTAATACTAGCAATATATTGATATTTCCCAGCCAAATATATTTTTTTGAGTAACCAGTGCTAAATAACTAAAAAGTTCAATATATTAAAAAATTAATAAATTAAAACAATTTAGAGATAAAATAATGGGTGTGGTATACTTATACCTGAAGAGGGAGATTTGATATCTGTAAATTGTTTATATACAATGTTGTAAACCAATGTCACCACAATAAAAATAAATTTAAAAGGGTCCTCCCTGGTGGTGCAGCAGGTTGAAGGGCAGCACTATAAAGCTATCCCCAACTTTGATCCTGGGCCTGGCGTGGCAGACCTTTCCTGAACCACCTACTGCTCCCCTCAGTGTGTATTTCAGTCAATCTGCCTGTTCCATTCTGCTTCCCACTCTGTCTCTGGTGAAATCTCTCACCTGCGCCCCCCTCCCCACCTCTGGCCTATACCCCAATTCTGTAAGCGTAAATAAATACATCTTTTTTATTATTTTTTAATTTATTTTAATTTTATTTATTTATTTAAAAAATTTTAAATTTTTAATATTTTAAATTTTTTACTTTTAAATTTATATTTATTTAAAATTTATTTTTATTTAATAAATACATCTTTAAAAAACTGAAAAAAGTTAAAATAATGACTCACATATAATAAAATGTAAATGGATCAAACTTGTATTGACCTCATGAATTAAAAAGGGAACCAACCAAATGTTATAACTAGTTCAAATGAGAAATCAAAAGCAAATTTACATGTCAGAAAGGTTATAACAGAATGTTGAAATCAATTTATAAATGGGTGAAAACTGACTTTTTAAAAAAGATTTATTTGTTTATATATACAAGAATTGGGGTACAGGCCAGAGGTGTAGGGGATGAGAGGATGCACCAGAGACAGAGTGGGGAGCAGAACAGGCAGTTCGATGAAGTACAATGCTGAGGGGCGAGGCAGGTGGGTCAGGAGAGGTCTGCTGTGCCTTGTGGGTTACCTCCCTGGCTAGGTATTGAAATCCTGCTGCAGTGCCTTCAGAGAGCTTCATAATGCTGTGCTTTAACCCATTGGGCCACCAGTGAGAACCTGAAAACTGACTTTTTTATGGGGATTGGTGGGGGTCTGAGAGTAGAGTCTATTGACCATTCATCAGACCGAATTTACATGTCTATAGATGAGAATTGTTTGCTTTGCTGTCAGTTATCTATCTACAATTAGTAAAGCCCTAAAAATTCAAGCATGAAGAAAAGCACAAATTCAATAGGATCATGTAGCCTAGAAAAGGGCACTGTAAGTGATGCAGTTTCCATTTCTTTTGCTATTCCAAAACCTTAAATTTTCCTTACATCAATAAAATTTACTCTTTTCAAGGTATTGATTGAATATGGGAAGATTAAAAGGAGGGTAGAAAAGTAATTTTAAAAGTCAGTCTAGGCCCTCCCTGGTGGCGCATCGGGTTAAAGCACTGCACTGAGAAGCTAAAGCCACTTCCGCATGAGTTCGATTCCCGCCTGCCCCGGAGCTGACCACGTGGTGTGGCAGACCTCTCCTGACGCACCCGCTGCTCCCCTCAGTACATCATCTGTACTTCGACCTGCCTGTTCTGCTCCCCACTCTGTCTCTGGTGAAGCCTCTTGCCACCCCTGAGCCTCTGGCTGTACCCCAGTTCTGTATGCACAAATAAATAAATCTTAAAAAAAAAAGTCACTCTAGACACACATGCATAAAAAAGATACTGGAAAGGATTCTAAATATCTGATCTGAAAAGGGATCTGAGGACCAAGAGAAAAGGAAATCCGAAAAAAGGGCAGTTCCCTCTTCTGACCACTAGGTGTTGCTGCTCAGGCAGGACTGTGACAAGAAGCAGAGAAACTGGAGTGATGTTCAAATTAATACATTTGGGAAGCTCCTTGGTGGCAATGCCTTTTTATTTAGTCCAGGGCCTGGAACATAGTAAGCCTTTAACATGTACTTCTTAAATGATTCATAACAGGGTTTTTTTTCACACTGTAGGCATCCCCAGATATGGCCTTTCTGTGTAAGGGTTAAGACCTCTGCTCATACAGGCTACATCCGCTTCAGTGTGAGTTCCATCCCCACCCAGGAGGTGACCTACATGGCAGGGAAGACCTCTTCTGACCCACCTGCTGCTTGCCGCAGCAGTGTACTTCATGGGTGGGCCTGTTCTGCTCTCCACTCTGTCTCTGGTGAGGTCTCTCACTGCCCCGGCACCTCTGACTTGTACCCCAGTTCTGTATGCATAATTAAATAAATCTTAAAAAAAAAAGACCTCTGGTCATAGTAGGACAAATAGGTAAAACATTTTAAGATAGAAGTCATTTGATTAATTAAAGAAGATAAATTTAAGTCTTGGAACATCTATGACCTGTTTCCGTGGTCTGTACAAATGCAGACATAAAAAAACACCTGTTTAAATATAGACATGACAAGTCATCCTTTACTTGTTTCTGTTCTGCTCAGGTGCCATCAAATGTTGATTTTTTCCACCCCTACCCTCCAAAACTTTCTAATACACTCTTACTAACTTTGGCATGAGTTAATGAGAAATGAATGGCATCATCTGTACTTTTACATAACCAACATTAGCAGAAAAGGAAAAGTGAAAAACAGAGCAGAACTAAAAGGAAGGAAGAAAGGGTTCAGGGCATTCAGAAAATCCCAGTAACGGGGCTTCCGGCCCCTAAACTTCCCTACTTCCTCCACAAGCAAGCTTTGCTTGCTTTTACTCTTCTAGTTTTTGGCACTTTGATGTTACTTCAGGAGGATGAGTCCTTCTTCCCAGTGGGCACTGGGCAGTGTCCTCACTGAGTTATTAGTTTTTTTTTTTTTTTGATGGCTGAGGACTAAACAGTGAGCCAAGCAGGCCTGACAAAGTTCCCAGCTGTGGAACATTGTAGAGCCCCTCCTGGGATTCTCTCATTCTGGTGTCTCAAAGAGACTGTCCATTAGTTTTTGTTTTTTGGAACCCTGCAGCTGCCTTGGGTTCTAACTTTTAAAGAGCTGAGTCTTCATTTTTCCCTCAAATCTGGAGCCACCCCACATAATTCCACTTTATTTGCCTGCATTAGCCAGAGTTGATTTCTGTGGACTGCAGCAAAAGAATGCTGCACGTTTTGAGGAAAGGGATCTAGGCCAAAAGCTAGTGCTTTGATCACTTCTACAAACTGCTCAAATTGTCAGTAACAAGGCTGAACTATGAAAGTAGTCCTCTCTGAATAAGCAGAATCACTAACACTTAAGGATACTTACTGTGTTCAGGCACTCCTTTGAACACTTATATAAGTATTATCGTATTTAATCTTCAGAATGACCACACTGAATTGATGTTATTGTCCCATTTTACAGATGAGAAAACCGAGGCACACCATAATTAAATAACCTGCCCATTCTAATATAACCAGATTAACATTCTAAAGTTTGTTTTAACAAATGTGAGTTTTTCAGAATTGTATTAGTTTCTTAGGGCTGTTGTAAGGAAGTACCACAAAATGGATGATTTAAAATGACAAAAAAAATGCAGTTTTGGAGGTTGCAACTCTGAAATCAAGATGATGGCTCTGTGACTGCTCTATGACAACTCCTTACTTGCTTGTTTTAGTTTCTGATGTTGCTGGCAATCCTTGGCATTCTTGGGCTTGTAAATGTTTCTCTCCAGTCTGTCTCTATCCTCTTCTGATAGGGATATCATCATATAGAGCTAAGGGTCCACCTACTCTGATGACTCCTCTTAATTATGACATCTGCGATAAACTTATTTCCAAATAAGACTATATTCTAAGGGGTGGGAATTAGGACTTCTTTTGGAGGAACACACTTCCATCAAAGAAGTTAAAAATTGTCCAAAAAGGAATTCTGTGGGCAAATAATTTGGGAAATATAACATCAAATACTGTCACAGTGGTAATCTCTGCAGTAGTACCCTTGGTGGGCTTTCATATGGCAATCTGAAGGGGAGTTGCCAAGCTGAACCTATAAAGTACAGCTTCTCAAACACAAGCTTTATTGTGGACTTCTTTTTACAGGTCTTCTGTGGGTTTGGCTTTCTGTGTGATTTGAGGTTCTTTGGCCCAATGTGGGGCAGCAACACCCTGCTGAAGTCCCTCCCACTGTTTTATACCTGGTATGCTCCTTGACAGTTGCTTTCTTCTCTGAACCTGAGCTCCCCCATTCTTAAGAAAGAGACTTACTATACTTTCCCCTGTGGGTTTCTGGTAAACACTAGGATAATTAGCATACCTGGCACAGCATACCTGGCATAAACCTGGCTTCCACTTAGTGGTAATCTTTTTTATGCTAACAGTCAGGTCTGAATTGTTTGAGCAATTTTAATAAGCATTTACAGGATCTTAAGAATAGTACTTTAAACCAGGACAATTCCCACCAATAAGGCTTTCTTCTGTCTTTACCATTTTTTTTTTCTCTTTAGCAGAATTTTTTTTTAATAGTAATAAAAATTTAATATGGGTAACTATATTTGCTCTAGCGAGACTTTTAACAAGTCTCCAACATTAGAAGAGTGGGTTTCTTTGGTCGGCAGTTCCTCATTTTGACCTAGAGAGGGGAAGAGGGTGTGATCATGCGATGTTCAGCAGAGGGGAAATTGTGAAAGGGACCTCACTGTAAAAAAAGCAGCCTGCAACTCTCTTGGCTTTCAGAGGAGATTGAGCTCAGAGGAGGAGTTGTCTGAGAGTGGACCCCACTACCTGTCCATCAGACATGGAACCAAAGCGGATCAGAGAAGGCTACCTCGTGAAGAAGGTAAGCAAAAGGGTCACCTAGGCAGGTATCGCTGGAAATAAGGTTGGGGTGTGGGCTAGAGTCCAGCTTTACACACTTTACCCACTTATTTCAGGTATATTTAATACTAAAACTACTGGGTTGAAATAGGGGAGTGTTGCAGCACATAGAATGTTGAGGGTGGGGAAAGTCAGGACATATACTGGTGCATTTTGATTCTGAAAGATAAATTAACCCAGCACAGGGGTGGGTCAGCACCGTTTGGTCTTATGGTGTGAGAGTCCTGGACTGCAGGGTCTGGAAAGTGGGTGTTTGAGCAAAATCCTTCATCATTTAAAGCATCCTTTCAAAAGTCATATATCTGTGTTATACTAGGACATTTCAACTCTTCTGTTGAAAAGGCTTTTATTTAAATCTCTTTTCTCCTCTTTTATTTTTGGTGGTGAGCAAGAAGAGAAATTTTAATGGTGACTTGTTAAAACAACACAGTAATTGTGCCTTATTTATTGGGCCGTCTTGCTTAAACATTGATGCTTTCTTTTATTGGGCTAAATCTTTTCATTCATAATTTTCAGTGAATTGTAAAATGTGTGATTGACATGGCAGGTCAATGCCCCCTTTAAAAAACGAGGACACAGGGACACAGGTATATTAAAAATGCTTAGTCTCACTGGTGTGGCACCACGCAGGGAATTCTGTTAACACTGTTTGGCTTTTCTTCTGGGGGCAGGCACATGTAGTGCCCGTGTCATTGTGAAACACCACAGGATGGTAAGTTCACACACAGACCTTGTGGGCATCCTGTGCGCAACACCTAAATAAATAAGTACACTCATATTGACCCAGGGAGCTCAGGGGCGTGTCAGAAGAGAATTAAGGTTCAATACATTCTGAATGTAGAGAACTTCAGGTAACCAGCATATTCATTGAACAAGAACCTAGTGCGACTATTTCAAAAGCCATTCATTGTTTAACATTTTAGCCTAAAATGTTCTGTATGTGTGGAGGTTCAGCATACATCTCTGCTTGCTTGTGTTTTTATTAAAGCTAGAAGGGGCCTTAGGTCATTCAGCCTTTTTCCTTTAACTCCAGAGAAAAAACTGAGGCCTTGAAACTGAGTGACCACTGAAGGCCACTGGGGAAACTCAACCTGATTGCTGCGGTTCTAGCTGGTAGCACTGACTTCTACCCGGTGTACCCGGATTTTTTTTTAGAGTGAAGCTAACCTAAATTTGGTTTGTAGTGTATCTGTGTTAGTGAGAGTTACGAGCAGATGCTGGAGAATAAACAAGGCCTGATATTGTCTCTAGCCAGTCATTCTTTGAAACATCCTTTGTAAAAGACACATATATACATAAAGGTATATGTAGGTTCTTTGCAATCAGCACTAATGTTCTCTCTGAGAATCCACAATAATTAATGTTGACATTTCTTTACTGATTGCCTGAGAAGTGCGGATGAATGGAAACATTTCAGCAAGAGCTTTTTTTCCCCTTTTAAATAATTGAAAGCATTTTTGCAATGAAAATTGCTGTTATTAATTTTGTTGTATACTCATACTTGAAAACCCCAAATTACAAAAGATACATAAAACTAAATCTTTAATGAATCTGTCCCACCAGAAAATGAGGATGAATATATGCACTGAAGTCAATACATATTTTTAAGATTTTTTTTTTATTTGTTCATATAGAACTGGGGTATAGGCCAGAGGCTCAGGGGCGGCGAGAGGATTCACCAGAGACAGAGTGGGGAGTAGAACGGGCAGATCGACGAAGTACACTGCTTAGGGGAACAGCGGGTGGGTCAGGAGAGGTCTGCCGCGCCATGTGGTCACCTCCGGGGCAGGCGGGAATTGAACTCATGCTGAAGTGGCTTTAGCTTCTCAGTGCAGTGCTTTAACCCGCTGCGCCACCAGGGAGGACCCAATACATATTTTTAACCAAAGAAAGCAATTCTCTCAGATTATAACCTGAAAAGAACAATCTAAAAAATAACCTAAAACAAGAAGTGACAGTTCAATTGATATTTCCACAGTTTTTCAAGTTTTTTTTTAAACAATTCCTGTTGTAATATGTTAAAATTCTCTAACTTGACATTTAAAAGTAATAGTTGGTTCAGAAACACTCTCTTTGTGGGCTGAAGAACTATATATAAAGTTAGAATTTCCAAGTAAATTCATTAAAATTCTTAACTTCTTTAGAGGTTAAGTTGCATTCAATTACCTTATGCCTATGGATTAAAACTGCACATGTCAGGAATGTGTTAGGTGCTACACAAATGGTAACAACAATTAGCATCAGTATCGACATGCAGTTCAATAGATCAGGGGCCCTCTGGGGTATGTATGTATTGGTACCTGCGCTAGTCACCAAGTTAATAGTGAAGAAAGGATCGTGAAGATCTTTGTCATCCTGTTAGATGTCTTGACTATGGTTTTGGATCTTAAAGTATGACAGATAATAATATAAGAATCTACCTCCATTCACTTTTTTCTCCTCTACAGATACCTGGGTGGCAATAAAGACTATAATTTATATTGTGTTATTCTAGGAAATCATTTTATCGAAGATAGAGATTTTGGGTAGAAAAATATAGCAGAAAATGCTGGTACAAAGACTTTGTCAAATCAGAGAAATCTTGGGGTGAATGTCAATGGCCTTAACTATAAAACATGCCTGCTTCTTTTTCTCTATACAAGATAACTGCTGACATTCACAATTCCAGTTTCTTGGCCTTCTGCCCAAGATATTTAAATAGAGATGAAGGAAAGAAAAGGAAGAAAAATGTGTGGTTCTGTCATTTTGCATCTATTTCAATGTAAATAAAAGCCAGATTTCCTCGTCCCAAGTCTTGTCACTTTTGACTTATGACCAAAACAAAAGAGCATTTAGAATTTACCACATTGCCACCAGCCATTCTCTAAGTATTCATTCCTTAGCACCCCATGTGATAATATCCTTATTCGCATTTTCCAGAGAACCCTGGGGCTTAGAAGAAGGGGCTTTCCCACAGTCCAACACGTAGTAGGACATCCTGAAATTCAAACCCAGTTCACCTTCTAGCTCAACCTCCTGTCTCATTGGTCCTACTCAGCATTCGAAAAGGGAGGCTGACTGAAGTCAGCAGAAGCAGAGGTCAGAAGAAATTTTACCTGAACCAGAGTGAAGCCTGGGAAATTGTATTGTGGCAAGATTGGGATTAGTAATTTCAAGCTTCCCTATCTGAATAGGGATGATAAACCATAAACATATCTTGGAGGTGCTTCGAAATACATTATTAACTTGGATATATTTTTAAGCATAGCTTAAATGAGAGAGGAGCATATTACAACCCTGGACTCCATCATCATCATATCACACACCAGCTTCATTTCTAGAGGTTTATCGAGCCAACTGTTAGGACCAATGCCGTAGGCATTTCTCACACGAGGCCTGATCCAAAGAGTGGGTTAGGGATTTGGGTAACTGAGAGGCTGGGAAATAGCACAGTAATTAGGAATAGGGAAGGAAAGGGAAGAATAAGGGACTTGAGCAGGCAAGAAAAGGGTGACACTGAGCAGTGGTAAAGAGGAAAGTTTGAAGGAAAGAGGGTTCGGGTATCTTGACACTGGAATTCTTTTGTGCAGCTACTTGAAACAGTCACCAGAATCTTGCACCCACTGATTTACCATCATCATAATAGCTACCACATGTGGTGCTTATCCTGAAGCAGGCACAGTTTTAAGCATTTAATGCACTAATACTTACAATGACCCTTCTAAGTGGGTACAAGTTATTTTACAGATGAGGAGACCAAGCTCACACAGCTAGTAAGTGACAGAGCTGGACTGGAAGCCCACAGTGAGCCCAGTGTCTCTCACAGCTGTGCCTAGCCATGCTACATGTGGTCCTCACAGGATCTCATTGCTGGATTTTCCTTTCCAAAGCACTGTGGATCTGAATGGTATTGTCTAGCAGAGCCTTCTGACAAAATGATTTTTATTGCATACCCATAAAACTGTGTAATCGTGTTGATCTACCTATAAGATTACCAACATTTTTTTAGCACTTACTATAAACTAGCCACTACCTAGCTCTTTAAGCTTATTGTCTGACTTAATCTTTATCAAGAAACATGGTATTTTATTATCTTCATTGTCTAGATGAAGAGACTAATGTTTGCAAAAATTAAGTAACTGGGATAAGCCTATAAAAAAGGCAAAACAGAGATTTGAACTCACATCTCACAGAAACATCTGTGCCATTTCCTTCTTACTCACTTAATGTGGTTTTATTGAGAAATTGTCCAATCTAGAATAATTTACTTATGTAAAAAAATATACTACTGAAAAGATTGGTTTCCTTTTCTTCAAAGAATTGAAATAGGTACAAATGACCATTTATCTAGGATAATATTCAAGTTTTTGAGAGATCAGGTTGGAAATCTAGATGATATAATTTATGAAGCATCAGAAATAGCACTGAACACCCCACAGCAACTTAAAATAGCATGTCCCATGAGTGGGGGGAGAAAAAACAGTACTAACTCATAGTTCTGCTTTAGTTAGTTAGCTATGTAGATTTGGTCATAATGTGATTTTACTGTGAGTTCCAGCTACAGGTCAGCAATAAAAAGAGAAGTTTGAAGCTTAAGGAGAAGTTAAAGGAGGTGTCTTCACACTAGTGGAGATGTCTGGGAGGAGTTCTTAACACCAAAGTTGCCCCAACCCTCAGCCATGGGTTGTGGCCCATTTCCGTGAAGTGGCACGTACACAGGAAGGCATGGGTCATGGCCCAGTCATGCATTGTTACACTGAACTGGAGCTGTCTATTCAGGCTGTGCTCTCTCCTACTAGACTGGAGCCCTTCCAAATAGAGACTCTCTTGGTCATCTTCACACCCAGATACCTAAGCCTAGAAGCAGAGAATTGTTCTGTTATTATTTGTTGAGTGAACATGTCTCAAAGAAAGAAACTTGTCTAACAAAGTCAGAAAAACCAAGGAATTAAAATTCCCTGTTATGAGGGCTCTCCCTAGTAGGTCAACGGGTTGAAGCATCACATTATGAAACTCTCTGAATCCACTGAAGCACGAGTTCAATCACCAGCCAGGGAGCTGATCTACATGGCATGGCAGATCTCTTCTGACCCGCCCGCTGCTCCCCTCAGCAGTGTATTTCAGTAGATCTGCCTGTTCTGCTCCCCACTCTGTCTCTGGTGAATCTTCTCACCCACCACACCTCTGGCCTGTATCCCAGTTCTGTAAACATAAATAAACTATCTTTAAAAAATAATTCCTTATTCGAATATAATAATTATTCGAATTTGTTGAAATAGTACATTTTATGTTTATTGGACCTGGGCATTTCCTCTTTTGAGAATTATCTATATTTTCTCACTTAAAACATAAATAAACTATCTTTAAAAAATAATTCCTTGTTACATAGGATTTTAAGATGTAGATAGTTGTGAGATCAGGCCCAAGGGTTGACAGGAGCATCTAAAGATAGAAGATTAAAGGGATGATGGGTTGAAGAGGCTTTTGGGGATACATGTGTAGAATTTTAGGGTTGACAGAAGGGTAAGTATTGAAGCAAATATTTGATGGAACTTCCTTTTATGGTCTGTATTTTTTTACTCATCTGTTAACATGTATGCTTGAATAACTCCTATATCAGGGAGTTCACTCACTTCCTCCTTTAAGTTATACAGTAATCTATTATTTTCTGAAAACTCCACCTCTTTGGACTTCAAAACCACAACACCCTTGATAATGGATTTGTCTATTCCTTTTTGGGGTAAAATGTACTGTCAACAGCTCCCCAAGAGAGATACCATTTTGTTACTCCCTTTTGAGCCGACTCCTGTTTAACTGCAGTTTTGAGGTTTCCAGAACTCAAGGTTGTTCCCAGATATATTTAATAAGAACAAATTTACAGGGAATAGGGAGTTTTTAATGAGTATGTATTTATTATGTTCTATATATGCCATATATAAATTATGTGGATTTTTAATTTAATTTTCCAGTTACCCTAAGAAATAGTGGTAGCATTATCTGTACTTGCCAGTTGGAGAACACGAGGTTAAAAAACTTATTCAGGGTGACATGGCTAGAATGTGGCAGAGCTGGGATTTGAAGTTGGATCATCCAGCTCCACAGTCCATGGTTCCCTACTGGTTATGGCCATGTCAAATTAGACTTTTTCACTTTAAATCTTATGCTTCTATTTATATAGCCTACAATAACTTTAATTTTTTTTTTGACAGCCCACACTAATTGCTGGCTCATAGAGCTCTTTCCCTGCCCCCAAATCTTTACCAATACAATTTAACATTTGTTAAAGAAAAATGATTACATCTTATTTAATTTTAATTTGCAATTATTCGAATTTGTTGAAATAGTACATTTTATGTTTATTGGACCTAGGCATTTCCTCTTTTGAGAATTATCTATATTTTCTCACTTAAAAAAATTTGGGGGTATTATATATTTCTCATTGATTATAGAGTTAAGATATATTAAGGACATTAACCTTAAACTATATAGTAAGATATTACAAATATGCATGAACTATTATTTGCTTTTTAGTTGTTGCAAGTTTTTTAAATGTACAAAAATTCAACCTCTCATATGGTGACATTCTTCTTCTGGTGTCGTGCAATGTCAAGTTCTTATGCACTAGGTTATACCAATCCCATGATAATGAAATTATTCACTGGGTAAATTGAAATTTGATTCAGCATCTAAAACTAAGCGTTGTGACATGTACTTGGATAGGTTTTGGTTTCTTATGGGAAAAAACAGAAATATATTTTCTCTGTGTCTGTCTCTTTCTGTATCCCTGTCTCTCTGTAGAAGTCACATAAGTTAATATTATTATTATTAACATGTTGCATGATTTTGTATATATAGTATGTCTGTTTATCTAATCATAAAACAATGTTTTAGTGATACATTTTACAATTTTATACATACACATATATATGTGTATGTGTATATTTACATACACATGCAAATATATGTGTATATTCACACACACACACACACACAAACACAAGGCTATGCATAAAGTTAACTAAATGACTTAATGAAGTTGATTTAGATCCCAGAATTTTATTTATATAGGAAATAAAATGAAGATGGCATCTGAGAGGAAATGGAGGGAAAATCACAGAACTGGATGTTAGCAAAGTAGGATTCTAGTCCCAGTTCCACATTTACTGTTCAGATATCCTGAGTCCAGTTACTTAACTGGACCTCAGCTTCCTTAGCTGCATGAATAGAGTCTTTATAGATAATCCTAAATGCTTTTCTAGCGAGAATATTCCATGATCCTACTTCCAGGTTTGTCCTTGGCTAAGCACCAACAGGGAGAGACAGAAAGGGATAAAAAGCAGGGGATGGTCTGTCAGGTAATTCCAGGGGGAAGCTGGGGCTTCAGTGTGGACTGATAGGAGAGAGATCAGTCCTGGGTCCATTATCTTCCTTTAACTACCACTGTAAAACCTTGCCTGGGTTTTTATTTTATAAGAAATAAACTCTGCTTGCAGAGTTGATGCCTCTTCAATGCACTAATGACTCTGAATCCATATTGTCTGAGTGTTGACATATCCCTAAGGCTACATCTGAATTAGAAAGCCACAAATTCACTTTAAGCAGTTGTCTCAGAAGTAGCATTATTTTCATTGTCTACAGAAGGAATGCAATGCGGTTGACCTCTCCCAATTTATTCAAATTCCAAGGTCAAGCATTCTGAGTCTATGACATTTACTTATCTTCTCTAGGTCTGCAGTACAAATACATCTTTGATGTTTTGGCAATCATCTAGTCCAATGTCTTACCCCTAGATTTGTGAATATCTTTTATTATTTTCTATTATTTTAATAGTTTTATTAAGTAGATTTTAAATATATTTCCCTAAAAGAATATTTTAAATTTTAATACATTGTAGTAGCATTATTAATTTTTTCCAATTATTTTGAAAACTTGCAAATCCACAGAAATAAATAGAAAAAGTAATACAAAACCTAAATCCAATTTATGTAGATTTATTAATTTTCACACATGGCCACATTTGTTTTTCTCCTTCCTATTTCTACACTTACATATAAATACATGAACTAATATTTTTCTGCTAAGATATTTGAGTAGTTGTAAACATCATACCTTACAATTTACTGCCCTCATTAGCCCTCCTTAATTTCTCTGCCCTATCTCCAAGGCCTCTTTTAATTCTCGCAGTCTTTGCACTGTCTCTGAAGCTACCTAATTAACACTCACTTGCCCTGGGACTCATTTTGATACCTTTCTCTTAATTTAGGTTTAGGATTAGCAGAATATTGATATTTCTTAGCAAAATATTTTTCTGCTGAGATATTTGAGTAGTTATAAACACCATGCTACCTCACTCCTAAATATTTAACATGTGTCTTCTTAAGAATAAGGACATTCTTCACAGTTTTCCAAGCTGGATGTTCCATTTTGCTCTCGTGCAAGTCATGTGTAAGAGTTCCAGTTACTAACCTTGTCAAATCTTTCTCTTTCAATCTTTTTAAACTTTAGATACTCTAATGGATGTGCAGAGATATCTCATTGTGATTTTCATCTGCATTTCCCTGGTGAATAAACATGAATACTTATTGGTATGCTTTCTAGTAGCTTCCTTAATGAAGTGTCTTTTACTTTCTTAAAAAATTGATTGTATACTTCTTGTTTTGTAAGACCTCATTATATTCTGTATATGATTCTCTCTTAGACATAAACTAGAAATATAGTTGATTGGCAGAAATTATTTTACATGTTGCCACAGTGTGTGAACTTGCCCATTTTTTAAAAAAGGGACTTAATCCAATATTCATATGGATAATTGTTCTGCTTCTACAGAAAAGAGATAGTGTTCTCTAAATAGATTTTTTTTTTTAGTCACTTGGATAAGCAAAGAAAGGAAACAGAAGCATTTATCTTTTTGCATAGTCTGCCTTGTGGGCAACTGGACATTTATATAGAGGGTGTTTGTATTTAAGATAAGAGCAGGATATGTTGGAACATAGATGATAATTCTATCCTGTGGTAGACATGACAGAGCAACATCTTGAGTTCAAAAATGAGAGGCAAAGAGAATCCTGACCCCTTCTTTTTTCAAAGTCCTCCCACGATATAGACAAGTAAGAGATGTCCTTGAGCTAGTCGGAATGTCTCATTTATTGCTAAAGGAGTAGCTGGCACTAACCCAAACTGAAAATTTCTTAAGTAAGTATTTTCCTAAAGACCACATTAACAGGGCTGGCCTTACTCTGGCATTATAGATCATCTTGTAAGTGATTGTTACACAGCTTCGCCATGCTGGCACACAAAAATTGCTGAGTTGATTTTTATCAGTCCTATTCAGATAAAAATTGGTCAAACCAAAGGATGGAATTAACTCTGGCTTGCATCCACATTTTTTGACCTTCATGCCCATTGTAGACATAAATATTGAGCAGTGACAATTTCCCAGTGAGTCCAGCCTCCGGTGTCCACAACTAACTCAGTCTGAGTTGGCTCTGGAGATGGAATTCATTTGCCATTCTGAGTTGAACAATGCACAAATTAGAAATAAGTTTGAAATATTTATGAAGGAGAGTAGAGATCTACACCATATTCTCTTGGTAATGGCCCACATGAGGCTTATTGGCTGATTATATAGATATGCATACATTTTATCTAAAATTAGTTTTTAAGCTTTTGGCAGAAAGTCAGTCCCCTTTCCCCTGAATCTTGTCTACACGAGTCAACTGCCTGTAGATTGGCCAAAGCTAGACTACTTACAGTGTTTTAGAAGATTGTTAACCCAGGATTTTTATTGTCATCACAGGGGAGCATGTTCAATACCTGGAAACCCATGTGGGTTTTATTGTTAGAAGATGGAATTGAATTCTATAAGAAGAAAAGTGACAATAGCCCCAAAGGAATGATTCCCCTGAAAGGAAGCACTCTGACTAGCCCTTGTCAGGACTTTGGCAAAAGGATGGTGAGTTGGTATCACTGACTACAACGAATACCTTGTCAGACCTTTGAGCTGCGTGGAGCTTATAATCCACAGTGTGAATTGACCTTTGAGCTGCGTGGAGCTTATAATCCACAGTGTGAATTGTGGTCCCTGGGCCAGTCCCTCTCACCACTGCCCATCACCCACTCTTGACATTTGGGTCTCTTGGCCACATTTGTGGCCAAGCACTTCCAGGACAGAGTGGGCTTACTGCTGCTTGGTAAAGGGCCTCTGCCTCTTGACTGGAATCATTCTTAATGGGATATGTTTTGATTTTTAGTTTGTGTTTAAGATCACTACGAACAAGCAGCAGGACCACTTCTTCCAAGCAGCCTTCCTGGAGGAGAGAGATGGCTGGGTTCGGGATACCAAGAAGGCCATAAAATGCATTGAAGGAGGCCAGAAGTTTGCAAGGAAATCCACCAGGAAGTCCATTCGACTACCAGAAACCATTGACTTAAGGTGACTTCCTGTTTGCTTGCCTTCTCCCTTTCTTTTATCTCCCTTTTGAGGAAATCTAACAGGTCCAGGGCTTGCTTTTCTCACCTCTGATAGCTGTATTGTCCCCCTGGACCAAGGTAGTCTCTGGGTTTGAGGGAGTGGTGGTGGCTTCACTAATTACTAGCAGTTGAGGAGAGGAGAATGATGAATTATAAATTCCCTTATTTTGGTGAACCTTGGCAGAGAGAAGAGATAGAGGGGGGAGAAGAGGAGAAAGAGAAAGAACATCATCACATTTATTAAGTACCCATAATAAGTAAGTTTTGAAAGAAAGTACCAGGATCTGAAAGTAGGTAGGAAAAGGCAGGGCTTCTATGCTCAAACATGTAAGGTTTCAAGTTTAAGTTCACATTCACACATTCACAGTCACCAAAGGCCAACCAAAGTGAAAGCTTATTCTGAGCGGAAACCATTTGCGCTCTGGCCTGGTTTAATGGGCTCTGATGTTGGCTGACTTGGCCTTGCAGGTGACAGTTGTTACCCGAATGTTGTCAGAGGCCCATAAATAAATTCAGCCCCTGTTGGGGTGTTCTTCCTTCATGTATATTTCATGACTCCTGTCACATGAGCCCTTTTGTCTGGGGCTCTTTATTTTTTTGCTAGTTTTACTGTTATGTTGAGCATATTCTGAAAAAAAGCCCTGTCAAGAATAATTCTATGTCACCTGCCCAACATGTCCAACAAGATTCTGTTTTGGGTTAGGGAGTCCCTCAGTGGGGACCAAAACATCCCACTGCAAGCCTAACATGGGAGGTGGCATGTCAAGGAGTACGATAAAGTCTGCACATTGAACTTGGGGAGACCAATCACTAGGGAAGTTTTTGGTGAAGTCCCACAAAAGGTTTCTGGTCTGAGTGCAGCTGCTCTGTGGCTTCGTCACATGGCCACATTTCTGATCACAGGTGTCAGAGCCACATGGGAATGAGACTCTTGCTTTGTAGAACACAGGATGAAAGTGGTCTTCTGTGTTGCTCTTGTGTTTTTTCTGATAAGGTTATCTTTACTACTTCAAAGACAAACATGAAAACTATTTAGCCTTATAATTTTTAGACTAAGAGATAAATCTAAACAAAACACTCACTTTCTTGGATGCAAGTGACTATATTAGTATAGTCTCTTGAAGGATACTTAAAGAACTGAGGGGCCTTAAAGATATGGAATGTGTATGAAAACTGGCATTGGAATCTTTAATCTTTGGTACCTAGCTGGGGCTCAATATTCCATTTCAGACACCTGGAGTTAAGTCAACAACTTGGTTAGTTTAAGAAGCAGTAACACCACCTTGGTATATATTGTTGAATGCTGGGCAGGTCACAGAATTCTGCAAGCATAAACTCTCTATAATCAAATATAAACTATTTATAATCACCTACTTACAATATGGTGGGGAGACGAGACTGAGGAACCCCTGGGAAGGAAAAGCTTGTGTTCATGGCCAGCCTCTACGTAGTGGCTGCTTCCAAAGAGAAGTCTTCAATCTGAAGTGTCCTCTCTCACCATCTGTGTTTGTCTCTCTGCAGTGCCTTGTATTTGTCCATGAAAGACACAGAAAATGGAGTGAAAGAACTCAACCTAGAAAAGGACAAGAAGATTTTTAATCACTGCTTCACAGGTAAAAACCTTTCAAGTCTGAAATGGGGCAGTTGAAATGAGGGACAACATGGAGTTTTCCCTCAGCCTAATTATTGGGGTAGGGAGTAAGGAGTATAGTGAATGGTTGGTCATAGAACCTGGCCAGTGAACATGAGAATCGAATGTCCCAGTATGGAAGCAGAAGACAGACTAGAAATGAACTTTGTTGTTCAAGATAAAGTTTCAAAAGTTCCAGTTATGTCAATCAAAGGATTACTTATTTTTCAATAAGTGACATTATGTTGAAATAGACACAGTTGAATAAGATGAGACCCTCAGTATGATAAACAGAAACCAAGATATACAATGTAAGATTCAGGTGACTATTTTAGGGATGTCTGTGGCAGCAAAGGGGAAGGCATTAAATATTTAAGAATTTGGCAGATGTTAGCTGAATTTATTATGGTGATCATTTTAGAATGAGCAAAAATATGAAATAATTATTTTACACCAAGATAAATAGAATATTTTATGTCAACTATATCAGTTAAAAAAAAAAGTTTAGGGCCCTCCTTGGTGGCGCAGCAAGTTAAAGCACAGCACTAAGAAGCTAAAGCCACTTCCACATGAGTTCGATTCCTGCCTGCCCCGGAGGTGACCACATGGGGTGGCAGACCTCTCCTGACCCGTCCACTGCTCCCCTCAGCAGTGTACTTCGTCAATCTGCCTGTTCTGCTCCCCACTCTGTCTCTGGTGAAGCCTCTCTCCGCCCCTGAGCCTCTGGCCTGTACCTCAGTTCTGTATGCACAAATAAATAAATCTTAAAAAAAAAAGAAGAGTTTAGATATACAGTGTAGTGGTTGAAATCATGTCTTTTGGTCCATATTCTGGCTGTGTTCCTTACTAGTTGTAAAACCTTAGGCCAGTCCTTAACCTCCCTGTGCTTACTTTCTCAGTCTATAAAATGGGGGTTACCACAGCACACTTACTTTATAGACTTGCTGTAATGTTAGAGTAATTCCTGGCACACACTAAGTTCAAAATGGTGCAAAATCTCTGTGTGCTTACTATGACTAAGAGGAACAGGTCTGCACAATCAGTTCTGTGCAGAAAAAAGAAAGAATTCAGTAGGTTGTTGAGATGAATAGAAGGTGGTACCTAAATTTGACTTTGAAAGATGGGTAGGATTTCATTAAGTATTTATGAAGGAATTCTGATAAGGATGCTGAACAAGGGAAAGTGAGTTCAAAGTTATGTTGCAGAGAGATTCAGAAGATGCATCCAAGCCAGAAAAAAAAAAAGGGCAGGTGGTTCACTAGGACACAGGACTCTAATACTAGGTTTGTCAGATGCCTAGTACCTTACTTATGGTGACAGGAAAGTTTAAAGGAGGAAAATGCTGAAAAGACAACATGAAAAGACAACAGATGTAAAATCTGAAGGGATGTACAGTCACTAGATAATATATAAAAATGGTGTTGGTCAAGGCTAGAAAGTTGGAAGGCTAAAAGGCATTATCTGGCAATGTTTAGTCTGACAATGTTTTTTGGGAATTCAACTTCAAAGAATTAAGGCAGTAACCATTAGCATCAGAGAAGCCCAGGCTGAGATTTGTGTCAAACACCAAGCCATATAAGCAAGGGGAACTGACAAGACAAAGACCCTTAACTATAGGAACTAAGGTCTCTAAGGCAAAGCCTTGAGTGGGAATAAGGGGAAGTTCCGGTGTAGATCTGGGTACAAGGTCCAGACCAGGCATTTCCTGTGTAATGGCTTTGTGAGTCACAGTGTTGTGGTAGTATTCCCTAAGTTCTTCCTTTTGAAATTCAAGGTGAGTTCTAGAAATTCTGTAGGCTGGAGCTTTCATGTGGAAGTCAGTTAGTCTCAATAGGGAAATAAATCTAAAAAAGAGTCCACTCATTTTTGACGTGTGATACAATTTGAATGTCAGGAGACAGGGCAACCATGCTGAATTTGTCTTTCAAGCTGTAGCATGTGTAGCTAAACAAGCATTGAATCTAGGGTTCTAACACTTAAGTGAAGACATGGCATAAGAACACATGCCTAAAGTCACTTAAACTTTCTGAGTCTTAACTTTCTTATTCTTAGGATACTAAGAATATCCTCCCTTTTTTATAGGGTTATGGCTAGGATTGAAAGCAGAAATACAGTATCCACTTACCTTTTGAGAAAAAAAATCGGGTAAAAGCCATTCACAGTTGAAATTCATGGAAGGCTGATCAGCCAGCTGCTCTCACTCCTTTTTCAAGAATGGTGCATGCTACTGTTCTTGATTTGATGATGGGGAACTTGCTGGTGGTCATGTTGACTCTCTAGTCGACATTTGTAAAAAAATGTGCCTTTTGAAACACAAAGTTATATTGTAGATGGGTTAATTTTATTTTATTTTCTTTGCATTCCATCCTTGAGGCAGACTCTTCTAATGGTGCCTGCTAGCCTCTGCCAAGGTGTGACGTTCAGTACAATTAATTGCCTCAAATTTTAATTTATAAAATATACATGTGACTGTTGTTTCCTGCTGGAAAACTTGCCTCATTATCAAATTTCTTGATGTGTCATCAAAGCTCTTCTCACTCACTCTGCCTTCCTCTCCCCCTTGTCTTCTTTGCTTTCTCCTGTTTCCACTTTGCATTGGGGCTGCTTCATTGTCTCTGTGCCTCTGTCCACACTGCTGCCCCCCTCAGCCTGTGTTAGTTCCTGTCAGCTCCTGCCTCATGTACCGGGCAATCATTTACTCACTTTGAAGCCTGGGTTCAATGTCATTCCTTTATGAATCTTTCCCAAAGTGCACACACAACTCCCTTTCCCCTGCCCACATGTCATACAGACTTGACTCAGTAGCTTCTAGTGACCCACGGCAATGCTTTTGTTATAATACCTACTCGCCAGCCATCTCTCCCTTTTGGATTCCCTGAGTAAGCCTCCTCAATCCCCATCACAGTACTTAGTATCTAGTAGGCACATAAGAGATGTTTGTTAATGAAGTAAATCAGTGGGTTAGTAAAAACTATTTCTTTGATGCATGCATTTCTCCTGAAGGAGCATATAGGTATCAACAACAATACCAGAAACCTTTACATGGGTTCTTTTGTGTCTTGTTATCTATCCCACTATTTTTCCTTCTTGAAATAACAAGAAAGATTAGACAAGCCATGCACTTTGGTGTTCTGTCAGTTGCTTGTTCTTTGGTATGGAGAGTTAACCTTCCCTCCATGATCCCATCTAGGTAACTGTGTCATTGACTGGCTGCTTTCCAAGCAGTCTGTTAGGAATCGCCAAGAAGGCCTCATGATTGCCTCCTCACTGCTCAATGAAGGGTACCTGCAGCCTGCTGGAGATTTATCCAAGAGTGCAGCAGATGGGGCAGCTGAAAACCCTTTCCTGGACAACCCTGATGCCTTCTACTACTTTGTAAGTGAAAGGAGCTACCCATCTATGATCTTTGCTATTCTGGGCAGATTCTAGATTGACTTCAGATTATATCCACACATGTAAAAGAAAGCCCAAACCTACAGAAAGTTGTTAGGTAAAGGAGGATGGAGGAAGGGATAGAGATGTCAGGTGGGAAGAATCAGGAGACACCCCAAATTTCAACTTGATGTCTGTCCTCCTCCACAATGCCTGCATATCCAACTGAATCAGTTTAAAGGAAACTATCATTTATTTGAACAGTTGTCTATAAATAAATTTCTTAAACTTTAATATATCAATTTTTAAAAATTGAGGTAACATTGGTTTACAACACTGTTTAGATTTTAAGAGTATGACCTTACACCTTTCAAATGTCTACTGCTATACCACATCCTATACCGAAGTTCTAATAACCGCTGTCTCACCAACAGCCAGTTGACCCCTATTCCCATTCATTCTGCATTCTACTGCTCCCCCTTCGGTATCCACAATTTTGTTATCAGAGCCTAAAGTTTGCTTTTGTTCGGTCACTTGATTTATTTCTTTATATTCCACAGGTGACTGTCACCACTCAGTGTCTCTCTCTCTCTCTCTCTCTTTTTTTAAGATTTATTTATTTATGTATGTAAGTACTGGGGTACAGGCCAGAGGTGTGGGGGGTAAGAGGATCCACCAAAGACAGAGTGGGGAGCAGAACTGAAATACACTGCTGAGGGGAGCAGCAGGCAGGCCAGGAGAGGTATGCAATACCATATGGGTCAACCCCCTGGTGGGGAATTGAACTCATACTGCAGTGGCTGCAAGCTTGATTCATAGTGTTGTGCTTTAACCCATTGTGCCACCAGGGATGGCCCTCTTTCTCTTTGACTTATTTCATTTAACATAATCTCCTTAAGTTCCATCCATGTGGTCACACATGGCAAGGCTGCATCTTTTTTTATAGCTGAGTAATATTGCATTGTGTATGTGTGCATGTATATACATACATTCATACATATGTATACACACACATATGTGTGTGTGTGTGTGTGTGTGTGTGTGTGTATCCATCCATCCATCCATCCAACCATTTGTCAACTGGCACTTAGGTTGTTTCAATATCTTAGCTATTGTGAATCCTGGTATAGTAAGTATCAGGGTGTACATCTTTGTGAATTAGTGTTTTCACATTCTCCATAGAGACACCTAAGAAGTGGAATAGCTGGATATATGCTAGGTCTAGTTTAAACTAGTTTAAGCTTTTGGAGGATCTCCATACTGTCTTCCATAAAGGTTGCACCAATTTATATCCCACCAACAGTATACAAGGGTTTCTTTTTCTTGTATACCCTTGCCAGCATGTATTTCTGGTATTTTTGATATACTGTCTAATCCCAAGTATGAGGTGATAACTCATTGTGGTTTGATTTGCATTTTCCTACTAATAAGTCATGATGAGTATTTTACATGTCCATACCTATTTTTATTCTAAACAAGAATTCATTACTAAAATTTATTAGCCTCTAATGCATGCCAGGCATTCTTCTAGTCAAAGGATATACAATAGTGAAAAAAATAAGAGGTATAAATTGCAACCCGCATAGAGTTGAGAGAGAGAGAGCTATATAATCACAAAGTGTGATTGCATTCTTTCCAACTACAGCTTAAAATATGTGACTCAATGCAAAATGTATTTACTCATGTCTCCTCCCCAATAATCTTGAGCACTTCCCATGACAGGCTGACTACAAAATGGGGAACATTATATTATACAATATGGAGATGATCTTGGCCCATTTCCCCACAAGGGGAAATCCAGCAACAGTGGATTTCTAGGGGGAATTTGGCAGTTTTTGTTTCTACTTGTGGTCAGAGCACAAAAGTTAGGAAGCTACTTAAGAGAACTATCGCGCTTACAAAATTAAGTGACTGTCCCAGGGAGAGTTTCATTTCATTTTGGAGGAAGTTTCACTGTCAGCAATTTTTTTCAGATCTTTGATCTGGCTGTAGGATTTAAAAAAGAGTCACCACAGGGGCACCTCTTTTGCTGCATGATTTGTTTCTACGTATAGTTGTGCATATCCCTCTTCCCTCCTGATTTTTGAGGATGAGGCTGTCTACATCCTCTTGGCCTCAAAGTAGAAGGAGCTGAGAGCCAGTGTTCATAATAGAGATAGCATTATGCAGTGTCTTATAAATTGGTAAAATTTGCTCTCAAAAACTGTGGCTATGAAGTCCCAAGAAAGGAGATTTTGAGAGAAGTGATGTCCTAAGCTAAACTTAGAATATAGCTTGGGAAACATATGAAAATAAAAGGATATTGACAAGCCCCCACCTGAGTGGTGATCTAGAAACCAGAAACAAGCATCCAGAAACAAGAAAAAGGAGGAGGGGAAATGAGCTAACCAAGGACAGCTTTGGAAGTTCAGGCTGGAATGTGAACCACAGGGGAAAAGAAAACCAATCTAATGGTTGGTTGGAGGTGGGGGGAGAGGTAGAGATGGTACAAGCAGCAATATGCCCGAAGTTTGTAAAATAAACTGTTTGGTTTTCCAATAGCCAGACAGTGGATTTTTCTGTGAAGAAAATTCCAGTGATGATGATGTGATTCTGAAAGAAGAATTCAGAGGGATCATTATTAAGCAGGGGTGTTTATTGAAGCAGGTGAGTGGCCATTTCTATTCTCTTCCAAGCATTCTTCCTTTTTAGGTTCTTTCTGTTTGTAAGGTACCAAATAGTATTTCATTTATTTGACCAGTAAGCATCTGTTATTGTTAGTTCTTTAACAATATTATTTCCTCTAATTTTTTTCTGGGGGGAGGGGACAAAAACCTCTTCTATTTGAGCTGAGTTCCATTTATGTTTCCAATCTTTTAGCTCAGTAGTTTATAACACTGGTTCATATTATAATCACATGGGTACATTGAAAAAAATATCTTCTTTTGGAGCCTTAAAAATAAAACTGTCCTGTGTCTAGTACTGGGAGTTAGCCAGGGTTGAACTGCATGGAAGGCTTGGCATGAAAAAGGACACTTGTGATCCACATCTCCAAGGTGGGAAGTAGATGTGCCCGACTGGGGATTGGGCACTTCCCCTCCCTCTTCCCATCACTTCTCCCATCCCAGGGGAGATAATTACACTTGGGACATAGTAAATTCAAGAGGGAATGGACTAGAATTTATCTTATATCATCCTTTTTAGTATAATTCATTCTGTTATGACAATGAATAAAATACTTAATTTCTCAACCACACATACCTTCTTTGATGGAGACATAGGAGAGGAAAAAACTTCTCTCTACTCGTTCAGTCTCTTTAACTGATCTAGTAATTAAAATGACATCAAACAGGCTAACAGGAAAAACAAATTTAATTTCCTACAAAGACACAGTGAGTGTTGTCTAATAGCCAAGAAATTGAAATTGGGGTTATATACCATCCTAGCAAGGTAGAAGGGGTGAGGGCCTGGGAGTTCAAAGGGGAAGAAGATAATTTATTGGAAGATAAAAACAGTAAATGATTTTGTAAACAAATGTTTGCCATGCCAGACAATGGACACAGAGGAATTTGAAAAACTAGGCCCTGCTAACATCTTCCAGGTCTACCACATTTAACCCATACTCTTTGTAGCAATTTATGATAATATCACACTTCCTGAATCAGGCCCCAAATCTAATTTCTTTTTATTTCATTAAGGAAGAGGTAGAGAAACCCTTCCTGATTCTACGGAGCCCTATTTGCCTTCAGCTAGTATATTTTGGGGGTAGCTTATTCTGTTCCCAAGTAGGGACAGTGTGTTATATAGTTGATGCATGATGCTTGAGTAACTTAAGGATTAAGGGTAAGCAGTAACAAATCTGCATATAACTGAGTACCCCAAAACTTAACTGCAAATTGGTTGTTGTGGTTTGGAAGCCTCACCAATAGCATAAATAACACCTACTTTGTGTGTTACCTATATTACATACTATTTTCTTATAATAAATGAACTGGAGAAAATAAAATGTTATCAAGGAGATTGTAAGAGAAAGTAGTTTACAGTCTGTACTGCAATGACCTATAATGTAAATTTATGTTACCTGTTTATAGGAGCATACACACAGAAGGGCACTTCAAACTATATTGTTCAAGGGTCATCTGTATGCTTTTCTTGTTTCTAGCGAAAGCTCAGCATCCTTCTTGGTGTATAAATGGCATTTGTAGAGTGAATTAAATCAAGGATAAGTGTGTGATGATTTAGCAAAAATTCTCAGAAATCCCAGGCATGTATGCTTTCCTTAAAATCCCTTAGGAAATACTCACTAAATGAAAGATGGCCAGATGCCCACTTAATGACATCAAGATCTTGGTTGCATCACATTGTGATGTCAGAGTTTGGCTTATTTCACATCTTCCTGTTACATTCCTTTTCCATTGACTCATGATGACTTGGTATTTACCCAGGAACTGCACAAGAGAACATGACATATGCATCTGTAGGTCAGGAGGAAATGGTAGGAGGTAGAAACTTTAGTGTTCTTATCTTTTGGGAGCCATTATCTAAGGCAAAAAATAGAAATTATTAAAAGGAATTTTAGAAGTTGATGTGTTGCAAAGGCTATTCTGGACAGTCCTGTACAGGGTCCCTGCCTCCACCCTGCAGGCAAGTAAAAGACTGTTAGGTGATAATTTCCTTGACAAAATGCTCAGCCAAATAATAGCTCCACTCCTTAAAGCTTACTATAAACTCCTTTAACTGAGCATTTTGAAGGAAACACAATTTGCTAAAATCACAAATGGTTCATTCCTTTGTATGTAAGCATGAAAAAATTAAAAAAAATTCTATTTGTCAAAATGTGATGTTTTAGAAGTAACAATATTGTAGTGACAAGGTAGAAACTATTGCTATAGATCTTAGAATCTGTTCTGTGTGCTTGCTTTTGAAGTTATTTAAGTCTTTAGAATTTTCTGTGGGAAATCTTGGTTTACCATTACATTAACAAAACTGCTATAACTTAACTGACATAAAGAATTCATGGCAATTACAAACTTTTAGGAAGCAGTTGCTGTGCCAGGCACAGTTCTGGGCATCAAAAGTATAATGATAAACAAGATACAAATTCTGCCCTTAACACTCACAGTCAAGGCTATGTCAGGGTTTAAGTCTATTGGGAAGGCCCACATCTGTTTCTTTTTCATCATGTCTGTCATATGGGCTGTTCTTCCCCATTGCCATTGGATTGCTGGATGTTGCTGGATGTTAGTCCTTATTAATTTATACTATTTCAAGCATGACCTCTTATTTATTTTCTTGTTTATTTTTTACTTTATTATCTTCTCCCGGGCTTAACTTGAACTTCTTCAGCTGGTCCATCCTGTGTGTTGTCACCATATTAATTTTCCTAAAATATGGTTATAATCTTTTCACTCTGATTCAGAAGCCATCAGTGACTGCCTTCACCTATTAGTTTTGCCAAGTCTCTTTCCACTCTTCTAACCTGGCCTCTGCTATTCTTCATGAACCTGCATTCCAGTCCAGCCAGGCTTAGTCCTTAGCATCAGAAAATGCCTTGTGATTTCACACAACTGCTGATGGCTGTCAGTAGTTTTTCAATCAAACTCTTTGTCACTCACCTAACTACTGTGTGGCCCACATGGATATGGTATTTATGAGGTTTTCTTCATGAGGTTTCTTTGAGCCCAAACTTACATGTACTTCACTTAATTCCTTTGAAAACTGTTATCTGTACCAATAATTTAATTTGGTCATTTGTTTTATATTTCCACATAGGTTATGAACTCTGAAAAGCAGGGACATGTCTTAAACCTCTTTGAGCCTCCCTCCACCTCATTACCTAAGACAGTATGTTGTGCATAGTACCCTTTTACAGAATACTAAAGCTGGAAGATAATCTTAGAAATAGTTTTAATTAATATCTTCCCCATTGTCTAGCAGCACATTGTTTGCTAGTGCATCTTTTTCAATTCAGCGAAGACATATCATCGGTAGTACAGGTACTGAGTGATACTAAAACTCATTATTCCTTCCTTTATGTTGATCTTGGATACAGGGGCATAGGAGGAAAAACTGGAAAGTGAGGAAGTTCATTCTGAGAGAAGATCCTGCATATCTGCACTACTATGACCCGGCTGGAGTGAGTTGACACCTCCATTTGAGTGGAAGCCTCCCTGGCAGCTCTTTGCTGCGTTTCTTTTTACCTCCTTTCTGCTATATTTGCTTCCTTCTTTCATTTCTGCCTCCTTTTCCTTTTTCTCCCACCTTCCTTGACCAAAGATCTCAGTGTTGAGAGCAGCATAAAGTCAGGGATGGAAGAAGATATATTCTACTGGCATTTATGTGGTTGAGTTTTTTTTTTTTTTTTAATCTGCCTCAATCTGATATTTTCAGAAAAACTCAATCATTACAACATGCTCTTGGTTTAATGTGCTAACAGTGATAATTACTCTTTTGGGTCAGCTTGGGTGAGAGCATTCTTTAAGTTCAGTCATTTAGGCTGTTGATTATTCAGGTTTCTCCTCAAGAAAATGAGCGAACTCTAAAGTGTAAAGACAACTGTTTGAGCCAGAATCTCAGCCTCTGCTTGTAGCATGGAGCTCTTTGGTTCCTGCTGTGTCAGTTGAGTGGGGCCAAAAACATGCAGCTCTTCCCTGAGAGATGTTAAGCCCTCAGCTGCTCCACTGCTTTTGACACTTTCTTCCTGATATGAAGCTCAGATTGATTTGTGTATCTTTATCCAGCCTCCTGACCCTACTGAAGTGGAAGGTGGAGTATCTGCAAGCAGTTTCTTTTCATTTCCTTCTGCTTTTATCGAGTTGGGGGATTTGATATATGTTGGAACAACTCTGAATAGTGTTTACACCTGTAGGATAAGGTATATTCATATAGTCTATTTTAGAAAGAAACCATCTGACTCCTCTCTTTCCAGGGGGAAGAGCCTCTGGGCGCAATACACTTGAGAGGCTGTGTGGTGACTTCAGTGGAAAGTAACCCAGATGGTAAGGATGAGATTTTGTGTGAGAGAAATATGGTCACTCAGTATTATCACCCCATGATTGGGCATCCTGAGCCGGCAATGAATTATTCACTTAATCAGTCAGGCATAAGCATGCATCAGTTTACAGTATGAGAACCGTAGACATGTTGCCCCTTGGGAAATTGAAGTTGCTTTGTGGATACCTTGAGGAAGTCCTCAGCCCTGGCTTTGATGGAAACACTAGTTATCTACTGATGCCTGTAACTGAACCATGTTATGCTGTAAAGGGGGTCTTTTGCATATTTATGCCAGGAAAAATCTCACAACAAAAGGGACCTTTGTGTGGTGAGACAATATGGTCAGTGGGTAGTGCATGTGGGGTAGGTCTTGTTGGTTAGTAGGTGACTTGGGAAGAGCTGCCTAACTAGTCTGGAATCTTCATTCCTTTTCTGGGATACCTTGTTCCCTGCCCCTGAGAAGTCAGTCTCCACCAATATTGTAATTACATGCACCAAGTTACAGACTTGTCATCTGTGGCCCAGAGGTCATCTAGTTTGACCTTCTTACTCCCACCTGTAGTGTTTATATATATATATTATGTTTGTGTGTATGTGTGTGTTTATATATAAAATGGGTGAGTTGGTGGTGGGAATTGCATGGGGAGATCATACAGTGTACAAAAATGAAGGGTGATGCAATGAATATAGTACAAAAATGTATATAAAACCCCAACATTTGTTGTTTCTATTTTTT